TAGTATATATTATAGTACATTTAAATATTCTAATTATTACATATCAGAATATTTTGTGATGTAAGAATATATACTTGATATATTCATTTTTTTATTTGTACCAGGGATCGAACTCGGGGCCTGGTACTTGCAAGGCAGGTGGTGCTTGCAAGGCAGGTGGTGGAACCACTGAGCTAAATCCCCAGCAATTCATACATTTTATATATGTATATAGTATATATGTATATGCACATGCATGCACACACACATACATGCATGAGCATATATCTTCAATTTTGCCTAAGGCCCATAAAATACTGTCTGACCCTATACAGAAAGACAATTTGCTGAATTCTATTCTAAAACACCCTATGGCTGCCACCTTCCTATTCTCTGTTACCATTTCTTTTCTTTTTTTTTTTTTTTTTTTTTTTTTTGGTACTGGGAATTGAACTCTGGCCCTTACGCTTGCAAGGCAAGCGACAGAACCAGTGAGCTAAATCCCCTGCCCTCTGTTGCCATTTCTGACATCTGAACTGACTGCTCCCTTGTCATGACTAAGGTTGGCCAGTAGAGAGACACAAAGGGTTCCTTGGCACCTCACTGTCTCTTAGACTAGCGTTTTTACCTGAAAGTGACCTAAGAACGCAGCTGGTAGTCCCTGCCAATGTCACTGGTAGTCAGTGAACAGACCTGTAGGATTTTGTTTTTTATGGCACTGGGGATCGGATCTAGGACCTTTGCACCGAGCTACATGTCCAGCACTTTATTTTGAGACAGGGTCTTGCTAAGTTGCCTCAGCCAGACTTGAACTTGTGGTCCTCTTGCCTCAGCCTCCCAGAGTGTTGGGATTACAGACATGTGCCACCATGCCCAGCTCAGTTCTACAAAGGGACAAGATCTGTAGGAAAACTTACAGAGATAATTTGAGGTCATTTTTATAAGCAAAAATAACAACTTTATTGCCTCCCCAGCTCCCTAGTGACTGCTGGTCCATCCCAAAACCCCCAAACCAGAAGTCTTCAACCTCTTCTGAGCATCTGTCTCGGGACTACACCCAAATTAATCAGTTCTTGGGCATGAATCACTATCTTCTGACAGGAGGCCCAAATTTCCCCTGTGAGGCCAACATTCCCTTTCCTTTGGGCCCTGTGTTTTGATAAAAGGGTCCTCTGCTAGTGGGTATCTGCGTCAGGAAATAATACATCTTTCCTGAGACTCCCTTCCTGGGAAGTCAAGGTTGAGAGCCACTTCACTGGGGAGACAGGAGCCTTCCCCCGACTAAGTCCCAACGATCAGTACAAACCAGCTGCCTTGCTGCCCACGTGCTGACCCCTCAGGTGTTCTCTGTGCCCTTGCTTGGCTGGAGAAGACTAGACACAGTGAGAGCCACAAGATCTCCCTGGGGTTTTTCTTGGGCCGATCTCTGCCTTGATCACTCACTCCCCAAATGCACATGGGACGACGCTGTAAAGGAGCACAGAGTCTACCAGGACGTGCTAAGATCTGTGCCATCTTCTCCACACTCCACCCTTCCTGAAGGTGAATACACAGCTGATCTGACTCATATCCACACCCAGATGGAGGAGGAGAGGAGGGGTAAATTGATGAGGTCAACAGCCCTGGAAGCTCCGACCAGCTGTGAGCCAGGGACCATCTGTACTCTTAGGAGCAAAGTCCCAATTCCAATGGCCACAGCTGTCAATACCAACTTTGTTTTTAATTTTTTCAAATCTGGACCCAGGGCCTTTGCTAAGCTACATCCCCAGCCCTTTTGAGTCTTTATTTTTGAGATAGGGTCCAAGTTGTTGAACTGCCCACTCTGGGCTCAAACACTGATAGCCTCCCACCAAAGCCTCCCAGACTGATGGAATTACAGGCACACGCCGCCATGCATAGGTCTCCCCAGCTTTAAGTTAACACTTAGCACTGCAGGTTCTTTTGTCGTGGGATGATTGATGAAATCCCACTGCAGATGCCCACTCTAGGAAGGTAAAATCCCTGCAAGTTTATAGAAAACCTGACTCTCTAGAAGGCAGAGGCACCAAATAAATGCTCAGTGACTGATAAGCAGAGGTCTAGGCGGCACAGAGAGAGAAACCTACCAGCCCTCACACAGCCAGCTTGGTGCCTCTGCAATCTCTGTCCATTCCCACATTCAAGGTCAGTTACAGATAAAATCCTGGCCCATCTCAGAGTTTGTTTCTCCTAGCTTCCAAAGCCACATTAGAAGTTTCCAAACTTTTGCCCATAGAAGGGTAATATGTGACCACGTTATCAACCATGTCTGTGAAAAGGAGGAAAAAGCAAAGATAATAAGGCTCTGGCCCATGCAAGTCCTGTTCAAAAGGCCCAGACGTAAACCGACTGCTGGGAACTTGAGATGCGTTTTCCCACCGGAACCTAGTCACCAGCATAACCGATGGGGCGGGGGGCAGTAACAAGGGCCAAGTGCACACTGTGTGCCAGGGGCTGCACAAGTTCACAGGTACCACAAGTCTGCACTTAGGTCTCACCATGACCTTAAGCTTTAAAGATGATAAATCTGAGGTTGGAGGAGCTCCAGGAACTTTCCCAAGGTCGCAAAGACAATAGCCAGTAGGACCTGGATTAGAGATTCTTCTAGCCACTCAGCAAGATCTGAGCAGAAAGAACGCAAGAGGCTTTAAGGAGCAAAAAGAGGCTCCTTAGGCTCAGCATTTTGTCCAGGATCCTCCTGGAAAGGGAAAAAGGAGTCAGGTCCCAGAGGGCCATACGTGACCCAAAGGGCATTTGTGTCCAGTTTTCATGCATAAACACTGCACCCATCAGGGACCCCAGGTATTTCCAGGTAAAGGCGTACCCACATTGCGAATCACACCACCATCACTCAGATGTGCACAGACCTCCCTTCGGGGAGGGCAAAGCACCCTTTAAATGTAGTGACATTTTTTAAAATGCAAGTTCCTGTTCATGGTAATAAGGCTTGCACTCATCTCCTTACAGAGTGATAATTAAACCCTTCAATAATCATAGCCACTGATTACTCAATCAGTGTCACACTGAGTCATCACAGACTGGAGAAAATGATGACAAAAAAAAAAAACCCAAAAAGTTGAACTCAGAGCAGCAGTGCACACCTGTAATTCCAGCTACTTGGGAGGCTGAGGCAAGAGGATCATATAGGTTCTAGCCCTACAGGGCCAACTTAGTAAGACTGTCTCAAAAATAAAAAGTAAAACGGTCTGGAGATGTAGCTCAGTGATACAGTGCTTGCCTAGTATGTATGAGGCCCTGAGTTCACTCCCCAGCAATGCAAAAAAAAAAAAAAGTTGTGATGCCATCTTGTATTTCCATTGGTCAAAAGGGAAGCTATTTACTGCTAAGATTGATGTGAAGGCATTATTTGTTATCGTTAGGCGGCTCGAGCGAGGGAGGCCTCCGAACACTTGTCCATGACCTCAGAATGGAGCTGAATAAGAGCCGGACTGCAATGGGTGATATTTTTTGACTCCCACACTCATCACCAACCGTTCATCTGTGGCAGCTCTAGACACGGAAACACGGTATTCACGGATTCCGTCATCCGTGAGAACTGATGGAAAGCTTAGAGCCATGGAAAAGTGTCCTTGCTGTCTCTCTCTCCTTCACCCCCACTTCTAGTGCACCAGTAAGTCCTGCTGGTCTACCTCTGAAATTCTTTATTAAACCTGTGCACTGTCACTAAGGTCACGGCCTCCGCTCCGGTTCTGATCACCAATATTGTGTGCCTCCAAAGGGCTCCCTCGGTTTCTGCTTTATCAGATCCTCTTGCGATCACACACACATTCTCCACATGGATGTCAAGACGGTGCTACATCTTCCCTGAAGCTCTGGGCATTGTCCCTGCACCCAGAAATTCCCAAGACCAAGGGCCTTAGTTCCTAAGGCTGCCTTAACAAATCACACAATGGTGGCTGAGAGTAACAGAAATGTATCCTCCCCTAGATCTGGGGCCAGAAGTTTGAAATCAAGGTGTCAGCAGAGAATTGCTCCTTCCAAAGGCTCAAGAGGAGAGAGTAACTGTCCTCTGCTCTTCCCTGCCTTTTGGTGGTGGCCATCCACCCTTGGCATTCTGTGGCCTGTGGCCACATCACTCCAATGTGCCAGTATCATTACAGAACCATCTCTCTGAGTATCTCTGTCTCCCGTGGCTTTTCCCTTACGAGGATCTAGTCCCTGGATGCGGACCCGCCTTAACGGCTTCACCTTAATATCTGCAAAGCCTCTATTCCCAAGTACAGTCTACCCATAGGGACAAGAGGTTATGACTTCAACATGTCTTTAATGGGACAGGAGGGTCGGTTCCTAAGATGTGAGGGAGGTGGCAGTTTCTTTGGGACCACTGCAATACGTGCCTGACCCACAACTCTCCGTCTTTGAGAAAAACACACTGCAGTGGTGGGAAACATACAGAGAATGTGAGAGACCACTGTCAGAAACGGATGGACGAGCAGGCTCAGAGGCCGACTGACCAAACAACGGCTGCATTTCATCAAGGAAAGGTATCTCCCACTCCGTTCTCCGCTCCTCCTTCGGCAGGGGCCATGATGCCAGCTCTACCCAGTCTCCTGGGCCCTCCTCATGCTGCCACGATGCCAGCACCCCACAGAGGAAGCCCTCCCACTATGCCAGTGAGGAGCCCCTCTTCCTGGGATGCTGCCGGGGGACCTGCTCCTGCAATGAGGGCACCCACGGGAGGCCACGTGCCAGTGATGCCTGGGCCTCCACTGATGCCACCGCCTGCTCGGCCCATGATGGTGCTCACTCGGCCAGGAATGATTCGACCGGACAAAGACAGAGGGGTGACCTCTTTTTACCAGTTTTATATTACTTGTCCTACTTCGCCAGACTCGGGTGCTCTCTAACAGCATGACAAGGAAGACCTGCTTCTTGCTTCCCCTTCCTATCAAACGGAGAAGAGTTTTGAAAGGAGAAGTGGGATTAGACAAAAGTGCACAAAGTACAGTTTCATTTGTATTGTGAAATGTGAACTTAAAATTGGCAGCTCTTTTAGTTTGAAAAAAAAAAAAAAAAAAAAAAAACAGACCAAAGGGAATACCAAAAAAAAAAAAAAAAAAGGCT